GCTCTTCCTAAACAGCCAGCAGTCGGCCGCATATCCCAGACGGCTGTCGATAGTTACCCAGTGGAGAACTGTCGCTTGGTTCTCATCCTGCGTGTATGTGGTAGTGATCACTGGAATGCTCAGTTGAGAGAGACAGAGAGAGAGAGAGAGACGCCCAGCTGGGTCCTCTCGCCATGGTTCACCCCAGCCCCAGCTGGCCTGGATGGTGGGCACGTGCTCACACGCCGAGCATGCAGGGAGAGGTCCCAGGACACGAACCCAGGACTTACTGTGATCAGGCCTCTACTGCTGCCTGACTGCCTGGTCTCTGGATTGACTTTTTTAAGATTTTAAAGCAATACATGTTTTCCCTGAGTAGGAAAACCTCAGTCATTACTTTCTCTAAGACTGACCTGTGGGTGATTACAGCCGCGTGAGCCAGGCTCGGGTGGGTGAGGTGGGAGCCCCTGTGGTCGGCAGCTGCAGGCTTTTGGCTGTGGGTCTCCTGGGAGGTCATGTGAGTTTGGAACGGGTGGGAGCAGGCAGGCACTCAGATGCTCGCGGCCTTGGGATGAGTACGTCTGCCAGGTTGGGCGTTGGGGCTGTGAGTGGGCCGTGCATGTGCCTGGGGACTGCATCATGGTGCACGGAGGTGGCAGCCTGGGCCGGCCTCCCCTGCAGCTTCGCACAGCCCTTGCACCGTGCCGCGCTCACCGTAGCTGAGAGGGCGTGTGGGGTTGGTCCGAGCTGAGAAATGTCCCCTCGCCCTCCCCTCCCTGTCTGACTGTGCCCCGGCTCCCAACAGAGGTGCCTCTGGTACACTTCCGTGTGCCCGGCATCCACAACTACTCGGCCTTGCTGCTGAGCGAGGACAAGGACTCCTTGTACGTCGGCGCCCGGGAGGCCGTCTTTGCTGTTAGCGCACTCGACATCTCCAAGAAGCAGCACGAGGTAGGCCAGGCTCCCGTTCCTGCACCGCATGGCTTGGTGAGGGCCTCGTGTGGCCCCGCAGCGGGCTGAGGGCCTGGTCACCCAGGCCGCCGGCCTGACCCGCACACACACACACGGCCGATATCCCCGTGTCCGCCAGCAGCTCCCCTCATCCGGGACCACCCTCTCTCATCGCTTAGTTTTGAACTTTTGGTTCTGGAAAAATCTCAGATGTGCCCAGGAGCAGAGGTGGTGGTGCCATGGGCCCTGGATGCCATGAGGCCAGCCTGGCTTTCAGCCCTGCCCCATGTCCTCTACCTCCAGGGACACGAGGCGAACCCCAACACCACAGTCTTCGTCTGTCACCCTTAAGGGAAAACACTCCTTTTTGTCCAAATTACCAAAATAAGCTTCCAGTAAAATCTGACATCAGACCTTCTCTTCCATTTCTCCGTCTTGTCAGGACGTTGTACACACATGCACGCGTGTATGCACACATGCCTGGCTGGGGCCTGACGCTCACCACAGCCGGCCGTGCGGGGCCCACTCCCTGACCCACCAGGCCATGGGGCCTGCCCAGTCGTCACTGGTAGTTGTAGCAGTTGCAGAGGGAGATGGGACATTCAGGGAGGGAGAGGTGGGAACGCAGACACCGCTGTCCCATCCCGATGGTTTCCCATGTCTCTTGAAGGGAGAGGCAGCCGGGACACATGTTCCTAGAATAGGGGTGACCCCCAGAGTGGTGTCACTGCGTGTCTTTTACCTCCTGCCAGCACACAAGTTCAAGGAGTTGTAATTCCATCCTCCCACAGAGACTCAGTGTCGAGACTTTTTTCTTTAAACCACACTCTAAGGTTTTTCTTAAAATTTGTTTCCCCAAGTTTCTCTATTTCTTTCATGAGCTAGAGAAACAGAATCCCAACAGGGCCTTGATGCCACGATTCGGGGTGGGCCCCAGCCATCCAGGGCCGGGGCACTCCTGTGCCTGGCACCCTTGGGAAGGCCTCTGGGCCTGAGCCAGGGACTCTCCATGGCTTGCACCCCGCATTACCATGGTGCCACTGTCTGGCCCTCGGGTCACCAAATGGATGAAAACAAACCCACTCCGTGCAAAAATGCATCATGACTTTCTCCACGACCCAATAATTTCATTCTCTCTTTTTCTTTTTTAAAGAATGGTTTATTTAATTTAATTTATTATTATTTTTAAAATTTGCTATAGGGCAAGCGTGCTCAAGAGAGAGAGAGAGAGAAAGTGAGAAAGCAAGCTGCCAGGTCAGGACTCGAACCACCATTGGCCATGTGGGAATCCAGTGCCCCAGTCACCACTAGTCATTCTCCTTCATTTTGCTGTGTAGCCAGTGAGGGGACCTTGGGAGCCAGCCTTCCCGTCCGCTGGCTCAGGAAAACGATCACAGAATGTCCCCAGGAGGCCAGGTTGCTCCTGGGCAGCACCTGTTCCCTGCAGCTCTCTCTGTATTCGGAGATTCATCCCCTTGGGAGAAACGCTTGGGCTGGGAACGCTGTCCTGTGCTTCTGCGCCCGCAGCCGCCATGAGGAGAACGTGCACTGAGCTGGGCTCCCGTCTCTCCCAACAGGCATACTGGAAGGTCTCTGAAGACAAAAAAGCCAAATGCGCGGAGAAGGGGAAGTCCAAGCAGGTAATCGCTCTCGCAGGCGTGCACGAGCGCTTCCGGGCTCGCCTCCTGGGAGCCGCGGGCAGGCGGGGCAGGCGCGCTCGGTGTCGCTGGAGAGGTCACCGTGGTGATTGACATTAGCTCTTCTGAGCATCAGGGTCGGGCCTCTGCTATATTGTGGGCGGTCATGCGAGGAGTGTTTTTAAGGTTTATATAAACTTCACTTATTCACGTGCCTGGAACTTTGACCATAGGAAATGATGGCCGACGCTCCCTAGGAAAGGGGATAAACAGGACTTACTGCCTCCCTGGGCCCATGGCCCTAGGCTTAGGGGGTTTGGGTAGATGGCATCCTTTTGGCACCCTGTCACTCCCGAGCCATACTGTCCTGTCCCTACCTGGTGCCCAGACGTCCAGGTGCTCAGACTCCCAGAGCCCAGCTGTCCTGACAGTGCTCAGGACTGCTGACTTCCGGCAAATTCCAGTAGTTGTCAGCTGATGTCAGTGGCTAAACGTTAATAACAAACAAAACAGCAACAAAAACTACAGCAGCTTCTGGAGGTTTCTGCTAAACTTTCTTAGCAAAGTGCTATTGCACACGTCCCCTAAGGTGTTGGCGTCCTGAGGCAGGATCTCCAAGAAGCGAGGACAGAGCGGCGTGGCCCTGTGGTCACAGGGACCCCACAGGTCACTGCAGAGCCGAAGTAGACCAGGCACTTTGCACCGCCTGGAGCCGGGCAGCAGCTGCAAATTACTTCCAGCCCGTTTCAAAGCAGTTGTAGCAGAAAGAGCTTTCCAGCACGGGGTAATTTCAGCCCGTAGCTCATGTAATCTAAGAGCTGTCAGCCTGAAATAGCGAGCTCTTAAATGGCATCTTTGTTTGCCTGCTAGATCTTTCCGGCTCCAGGGCCCCCCAGCCATCCGTCCCCCTCAGAGGGCAGAGCTGGGCCCTGAGAATAGGTTCCCGGTCTGTGCTGTAGGGAGTGCAGGGCGTGGTCTCTGGGAGGCAGAGGTCCTGCAGTGGGTGCTTCTGCGGGTCCGGCCACAGGAGGAAAAGCCATGTGCTTAGCCAGAGTACCGTGGGTTTTCGCGCGGGCGTCCCTGTAGGATTCGAGGTCAGCGCTCTGCTCCGCCGGTCACCAGATCTTTGCTAAGTATCAATCAGGGACTGAAATGAGATTCTTGCTGGCTCTGGACAACCTGTGGCTGGCGCAGAAGCTAAACAGTCTGGCCTGCTTTAGGCTGAGATTTTCTCAGTGTGGCTTTGGGGCTCGTGAAGCCCCTGCTGTGCGTGATCAGGGCCGGCCCTCCGGTGTGGAGAGCTGGAGGTCCGGGTGGCAGGGCAGGGCAGGGCAGGGACTGTGGCGGGAGCTGGTGCATGGACGTGGCCATGCCCAGAGGTGGTGGCAGGCAGCACAGAGGGGAGAGCGTGACCGGGCAGCTGCTGACGTTCTCGTCCTGCAGACGGAGTGCCTCAACTACATCCGCGTGCTGCAGCCGCTCAGCACCACCTCCCTGTACGTGTGCGGGACCAATGCCTTCCAGCCGGCCTGCGACTACCTGGTGAGTGGCAGCCGTCCCTCCTTCAGATGTGCTCGCACCAGCCTGGTCGGCAGTTAGAGTGGGGTGGGTTAGGCAGGTGTGAGGCGGTGCCCACCTGCAGGATAGCAGGGACCAGCTGTGTGGGGATCGGGCAGCTCCTGGCCCCTCCGAGAGTCTCACCAGGCTGCAGAGCACATGGCCACTTGTCACCTCTGACACCTCAGAGTCTATGACTGGTTGAGACTAAAGACAGGCTTCGGGGCCCAGGGGGCCCTGGGCAACAGCCCAGTATGTGCAGTGGTGGAACACTCTAGAAAGTTCATGTGGACAGAGCTGAGCCTGTGTGCCGTGGTCCCAGCACATTGCCCCCTGTTCCTTCCCACGTTTCATCGAGGAGGACCCGGCTGCGATAGGTCTGGGTCACGTGGGCAGGCCAAGAGCCTGCTTCTAGATTGTACGTACTCTCTTAATTTTAAAAAGGATTATTTCATTTTTCTAACTTTTTTTATTATTACTATTTTCCAGTTTGAGCAGAGACAGAGAGAGAGGGAAAGTGAGAAAGCAAGCCAGCAGGTTCAGGACTTGAAACGTGGTCGGCCATGTGGGAGTCCAATGCCCTAACCACCACACCACCTGCCGTTTTTTAACTCAGAACCTGGACATGGGTATTTTTAGCAACTTTATTTATTTCTCGAGAGAGAGTGTTGCTCTAGAGCGTGTGCATTCACAGAGAAATAGACAAAAAGTGAGGAGTCACACCCCCAGGGCGGATGGCCACACTGCAGTCCCTTCTCTTCCACTCTCCTCTTAGGATCTCGGGCACGCACACACGTGCGTCCAGTGTGTGTTTCAAACCTCTGGGTCTGGGACTCAAACCATGGCTGGCCATGTGGGAATCCAGTGACGTAACCATTACGCCACCCACTGGTCCCAGCAACTTTTTTTTTTTTTAAGAAGTTTTTGCTATAGGCTATGTGTGCTCGCCCAACAGAGAGAGACAGAGAGACAGAAAGAGAGACATCACCCCCCAGGGGGGATGGCCGCGCCGCAATCATTTTTCTTCCATTCTCCTCTTGGGATCTTGGGCACACACGCACATGCGCCCGGCATGTGTTTAAGCCACCGGGTCCAGGACATGAACCATGGTCGACTACATAGGAGTCCAGCGACATAGCCATTACGCCAACTGCTGGTCCCAGCAACTTCATGTTTTAACAGTTTATTAAATAGCTTATTTTTTTCTTCCAAGAGAGGCAGCATCACAATGCCGCAGCCCCCTCCTAGTCTCAGCCGGGCAGTCCTGGGCACGCATTGGGCACGTGTCCCGAGAACATGGAAAGCCTTCAGGTGTGAGCCTGGAGCCATTCCTTGTGGTCCTCGCAGACACGGTGCCTGCTGCGCCCATCCAGCCCCCGCACGTGCTCCTGGTTGGCACCTGCACCCTGGTCCTGGCCATTGTCCGCACCCCACCCTCTGCACTGCTCTCCAGACCTACCCACTCCGCATGCCCAGGGACCCAGCCAGCGCCCAGTGCCCCCGTGTGGGGCTCCCTGGGAGGGACCTCTGCTCCTCGTTCCAGACAGGGAGGGAAGCTGTAACACTGCACGGCCAGGGGTTTCCTTTATTCGGCTGCAGTCACAGAGAGGAGGACCCAGAGGACTGGAACGAGGCCCCGTGCCAGCGACTGTCCGGAAATTAGAAGCTCTGACACACAGGAAGTGCACCCTAGCATGAACCCCATTTGCTCGAACCCCACATTAACTGGGATTAAAAGTTTCTAGCCTTGCTGAGTCAGAGAGAAGTGACAAGGGAAGGCGAGGACTCCTTGGGAACTTGCTCATGAAGCCTGGGCTCAGCCGTGGGTGCTGCGGAGAGGGCTGCAGCGTGGGCTGTCCCCACAGTGGCTGGGGAGGAAGCTGGTACAGGGGACGGGTGATTCAGGGCTGCTGAGGGCTTAGTCCTCCAAGACAGAGGACTCTTTGCTTTAGTGCAGAGACAGAAGCAGCACTGTCGCACTGGCAAAGTCTCGCACATCACGGCTTCCAGGGAGCCCCAGTCCCCAGAGGTGTGCAGCACTGTCGTCTGGACTTGCCTCCCATGGGTACACGGGGTTGAAGCGGGGGCAGTGCATGCGGTGTAGAGCTAGTCCCGACTGCAGCGGGCTTTCTGTCAGAGCTGTAAACCTGGCCAGCGCTGCAGGCCCCGCAGTGCCAGGCGTGCGGGAGGTCCTGGGTTCGCACCCCTGCCGGGCCCCTGCTTGACCAGTGCCTGGCTGGCTGAGGCTGGCACTGTGTGGGGACACTGATGGAGGTGCGGTCACATACTCGCTGGCTCTCAGAGAAATAAATGAAAACAACTTGAAACAATCTTCAGACCTCTACGAAAGCGCCCCCCTTGTGCAATCTCACCCACCTGCATTACGCGGTGGGCACACGTGTGCACACGTGCCTCTGTGCGTGCACTGTGCCCTGAACCCCAGCCCTTGTGGCATCTCCTGGGGGTGACAGCATCATCTCCCCTGACTCCCGCTTCGTCACTGCATCCAAGGTAGCTTCCAGCTCCTCCCTGTGTCACCCTTCTCCCGTCCTACCCAGGGTCCTCAGCAGCTCCCAGACCCCATCAACTGGGACGCCTGGTCAGTGCAGGCTGTACTTCCTAACCCAGCAGGCTACATCCGTACACTCTGACTCATCCGGGCCGTCGCACTGCACTCGTCACGTGTCCTGGGTCCTCCCTGCTCATGCCCGTGACCACACATGTGCAGCCCGCACTGTCTGGCAGAGATGGTGGGTCCTCAGCCCATGGCGGGCTTGTCCCCTCCTGAGTGTCCTCGGTGCAGAGCGATCCCAGCCCCGCCTGCTGTGCTCCTGGGTGCGTCCATCCCGTTGGTGCTGCCTGCGTGGCTGTCACTTGCCGGGTGTGCCGTCGTCCTCGTGCGTGCTCCCGATACATGCAGGGTGCCACTCTGCAGGCACCCCGCCACTCCCCTGCCGTCCCACTCCGTCTGCCCGTACCAGGGCTGTCCTGCGAGTGTGTGCTGCACGTCAGGTGGAGAGTTACCCGGGACAGAGCCGTCCTGGCCTCTACTGCAGCTGCTTCTGGCCTTTTTCTTTTCTATTTGTTTGTTTAGTGTTTATTCACGGTGGGACGGACGTGTGCACGCGGACGCGGTGGGGAGGGCCTCACGGTGGGATGGACGTGTGCACGCGGACACGGTGGGAAGGGCCCTCAGCTGGTCACATCCTCCCGTAGCCCCGCGGTGCACCGGGTGTGTTTCAGAGCAACTGGGCAGGGGACTCACACCAGGGCAGTCATGTGGCTGCCGGCTGTGCAGTTCAGGACACTGCTGACCGTGCCATGGGGCCAGCCTCGGGGCTGCTTTCCTTGTCTACATCCAAGGGCGTGGGCACACCCCAGAGAGAGAGAGAGAGGGACAGACCCACTCCCAGACTTGGTCGCGCTGTGATTCTTCGTTTTTTAAAGAATTATTTTACTTAAATTTATTTATATATTTATGTATTTATTTTAATTTGATCAGAAAGGGACAGAGTAAGAGAGAGAATGGGGGAAAGTGAGAAAGCAAGCCACCAGGTCCGGGACTCAAACTGCAGCCAGCCGTGTGGGAGTCCAGGGTCTTTAACCACCATGCCACCTGGCTTCTCCCGTGCTGCGGTCCTTTTCTCCTGGCTTGCCATCCCACCAGGGTCCTGGACACGTGTGGCCCCCTGTGTGTGGAACGACTGCACAGCCCGGGCCCCAGGACCTCCGTAACGCTCAGTCGTGGATCCCTCTGGAGGCCGGCGGGAGCCCGGCGGGACATGGGGCTTCTGCGTCTGTCCGTTGGTATTCTCCGCAGAGCTGTGATGGGACAGGGAGGTTCTCCCGCTGCTCCAGTGCCATCTTCATTCCTAGCGTCCTCGCGCGGCCTCAGGCTCACTGTAGGCTGGCTCTGGTGGCCACGCGGACGCTGGCATTGCTCTTTCTCCAAGGAGGGGACTGAGGCTCCAGGCTCCTAAGAGCTGGGCCAGAGTGAAAGCAAGGACAGCGAGGTGACCCAGAGCCGGGGGACAGAGGCACGGCTCCAGGGGCAGCACCCCGGGCGCCTCACCCAGTCGCTCTGCCCTCCTCGGCAGAGCCCAGCAGAGCTGTAAGCCTGGGGAATGCGGACGCGGCGTCGCTGCAGAGATGCGGACGTCTGTGACACCATTGCCTCCATTCCGTCGTAGAGCTTACCGTCCTTTACGTTTCTGGGGAGGAGCGAGGATGGCAAAGGAAGGTGCCCCTTTGACCCAGCACACAGCTACACGTCCGTCATGGTTGGTGAGTCCTGCCTCGCGGCCACCTGCACACCCAGGGTCCCGGGCCTCTTCCCCTCTGGCCTGGCCTCCTTAGCTTCATCTTCATCTCGGCTGTCTTCAGGACTGGGGGCTCTGCACACCTCAGTGAGAGCTTTTGGAACTTGTGTGTGTGTCCTGGGAGGGTGAGGGCTGTGGCCCAGCCACGTCTGCTGTGCAGGCCGCGCACCCGCAGGCCGGCAGCCCCACCTCCGCACAGCCACTTCTCTGCATGAGGTCCATGCTTCTGGGTGCTGACCGCCCCCCACCCGCGGGACGCAACTGGACGTGGAGCTTGCGCACCCCAAAGTCTGGGCCCGGTCATCTCCAGTGGGCTTACTAGATGTTGAGGGGTGTGTATTGATGCGTTGTCTTGGCCTGAGGGGCTGAGCCCTTTCCTTCTGTCCTCCCGGGCCGCTGCAGATGGAGAACTTTACTCCGGGACGTCATACAACTTTTTGGGAAGTGAACCCATCATCGCCCGAAACTCTTCGCACAGCCCTCTGAGAACGGAGTACGCCATCCCCTGGCTCAATGGTGAGGCTCGGGCCGCAGTGGGCTGCAGTGGGAGACGTGTCTCCTGGGAAGGCTGGGGCAGGGCTGGGCCGCGTGGCTCTGGAGCTGCTCGGGCTCCACAGCTAGAGTCTAGGGCTCTTGGTGCGTTTCCTCTGCTAACAGCACTGTTTTAAGGCGACTTTTGTCCTTCCCCACCCCCCAACGTGGATTTGGGGAACTTTTCCTAAAGACGAGATTACAGTGGGAATGGTGAGGCAAGTGTGTCAGGCCGGATGCGACCTGGGCTGGTGCTGCCTCTGAGCCAGCCTCCAGGGCCTGGTGGAACGGCATCTGCTGCCTCGTTACCTTCAGACAAGCCACACCTGACAGACACCCACCTGTCATGTGGGTGCTTGGGGTGGCCGTGGAGGGGTGTCCTGGCAGGGCCTGGAGCAGCCGAGGAACCGAGCCTTCAGGGGCGTGATCTGGTGGTTGGAGTTTGTTAGAGTCGTGTGTTGCTTAAGCCCGCAAATGTACGTCTTGGGGCAGGTCCCCGAGGTGGGTACCTTCTGGTTCCCTGCAGCCTCCAGAGTGCCTGTGGCGAGAGCCCAGCAAGGCTCTCGGGCAGAGCCACCATCGGGAGCCTGCCCTGAGGCAGAGGAGGGTCAGTGGCCACAGCGTGGGTTACCGTCAGACCCTGGGGTGGTGTGTGGGGTGCGGTGCTGCCCAGACACCTTTACGAAGGCCCACGTTCCCCGGGAGTGCCGGCCCGCTGGGGGAGCCCGCAGCGGCAGCCCTGACAGACCCAGTGTGGTCTCTCTGCAGAGCCAAGCTTTGTCTTCGCCGACGTGATCCGGACCAGTCCAGGTGACGCGGGCTACGAGGACGACAGGGTCTACTTCTTCTTCACCGAGGTGTCTGTGGAGTACGAGTTTGTTTTCAAGCTGCTGGTCCCCCGGATAGCCAGGGTCTGCAAGGTGAGCACGTCTGGGCGGCTGCCCCGGCTCCTGCCCATGGCCACGCGTGTGAGGTCTACATGTGTGGCTCGTCCAAAATGCCGCTTTCCCTGTCGCCCACGTCCTCCTGCCACAGGTGGTGTCACCGCGGGCGGGGGGGGGCGGG